CAGGTGGTCATAGGAAAGGGTTCCAATGTACTGTATATCAAATGTTTGATTTCTCAGCCAAACACTCACAGCGAGCACTGCTCCATCAGAGTTGATCACAAGGTATCCCTGTATATCTGGTATCCTGTCTAGCCCGTGAGGTATTGGAGCAGTCTTAAAGAAAGACAGGAGAGGATTAGACATCAACTCAAAACACAGTCATACAATTCATGCTTCAGCAGATTACCGTCAAGGTATGGAATATTCAAGTGCTCATTCAGCACAAGTGCACGTAAGTTCACAAACATCAAAAGAGAAACGGGAAAGTTTTTCTCAAATACTTAACTTAAGGCTAAATAACTTACAATAAAGGTACGATTGATAATGTCTGACTGAAATTCACCGATTTCATATTCAGTCTCCTAATTCTTTCAAACGATCTCTTCCACTCCATTTATAAACTATACGCTACGTTTTTACCCGGCTTTTGTAGAAACAAGCCCATTGGTACCAAATTGTTACTTCAACTGAATAAAACAGACCTTCAAAACTCATAAACTACTCACCATTTTGCTGTCTTCCCTTTCGCAAATCACGAGATTATCGGAAGCCTTGGTAACCGCGCTTCTGATGGCAAAATCTTCGTGGCCAGGTGTGGTGGGGGGTGGGTGTGGGATGTGTATGTGAAAGGTTTCGGTAGGCTTGGATTTGACTAATTGAAGGAGCGAGAGAGAGAGAGACCCTCGAAAAAATATAAAAGGTTTTTAATAGGGAAATCTTTCATTCAGGACTTAAAAGAGGTATTTCATGGCTGTGCAAAAGTCAAGAAAACTTCCAAGTATATACCTCTTATTAGCCGAGTTTTCGGTCCGTACTGTAAATTACGGATCCTCGTTTTTTTTCCATCGATCCGTAATTTACAGTACGGACCGAAAAAACGAGGCTAATAAGATGTTTATTACATGGCTTCTTCAAGTTTCGGGGACCGGAAACAAGTGCAGGACGCGCGATTTGACAATCATTAATTTTGACAGGCGTCAAGAAAGAAAGTTTTTATTGGCTGACGAAAACAATACCACATGACAAAGCGTGTCCGAGAAAGTGAAAACAAATTCGCTGTAAGTTTTAGCTCTTTAATGTAACGCTTGAGCAGCCTAGTCCCTAAGCGTTCTCGGTTCGGTCAATCCTGGACTCTACCGTGAGCTGTGACGTCACCGAGAGGTACACGCCAAGAACGCGGACTTCAGACTTCGCGCGGACAACGGGGCAAGAGAGAACGCTTAGGGACTAGGCTGACGCTTGAGTATTTTGGAAACCGGGCACTGTGTCTTTCTCGAAGTCGTTTCCATCTTTCCTCCGTTGGTCCTTTTAAAAAACACCGCAGAAGGCAAAGAAGCTTTTCAAGGTAAGTTTGTTGTCATTGTCGAAGATTCGCTCGTTAATTTTTTGGGGAAAACCTCTCGAATTTCTGCCAGTTCATTCTCGCACTGATTCTCGTCTTCAAGCGTGATCTGCGTTAAAATTTTCAAACACGGACCACATTTTCTTCCACGGAAAGGTTACGATTCAGTTTCTACATCAGCTTCGTTCTCGTTCGAACAAAGCTAGGTTAAAATCTGGAAAGGCAAAGTCAATATCCCAGTCCTCATGGTTTACAGACATATTTTTAAGTATATCCGGTCAAAACTAAGAGCACTGTAAGTATTCACTCGCCAATGTGACGCTGGAGTCTTTTGAAAACTGGACATTGTGTCTGGCTCGGAGTCGCTTCTATCTTTCTTTCGTTGGTCTTTGGAAAAACACTGCAAATGACAAAGAAGGTCGTGAAGATGATCGGGTGCAGGCATGTTTGTTATCATATTTGTCGAAGGAATTACTCATTCTCTCTTAGGCAAAATATCTCGAATCTCTGCCAGTCGATTTTCGTCTTCTTAACTGTGTAGTACGATAAAATTTTTAAACACCGACTAGAATCCTCTTCGATAAGATTACGAGTTAGTTTCTTCATCGCCTTCGTTCACAAATAAACACAGTTTAAAATGTTGAAGGACAAAGTCAAAATCTAAGTCCTCAAGGTTGATAGACGTCTTGTAACT